GGTAAAGCTGTTTCAGTAACCGAAGAGGCCTCCGGTGCACAGAACTGCACAATAGGTGGTTGGCGCTGACAAGCAGTAATACACACGTTGTGTTTGGCAACCCCCCATATGGGAGTCTAGGGCCGTAACATCCACTGTCTCTAACGTTAGATTAAAAGATGGATCAGTGCAGCGGCAGCAGTAATAATAATAATAATTCCTTACATTTATATAGCACTTTTCTGGGCACTCAAAGCACTTTACACAATGGGGGGGTTCTCCTCCACCACTTCACCAGTGTGTAGCATCCACCTGGATGACACGACAGCAGCCATTTTGCACCAGCCCACACATGATGAAGCCAATTGAATGGATGCCATGATGGACAGAGACCCCTACTCTTTTTTTACATTTTTAACAACCACACGTTAACATCTTAAGACGGTGCTCACTGAGCAGTATAGCATCCCTATCACTCAAACACACAGACCAAAGGTTGGGCGCCCCCTGCTGGCCTCACTAACACTACTTCCGGCAGCAACCTAGCTTTCCCATGTGGTCTCCCATTCAGGTACTGACCGGGCACAGGCCTGCTTAGCTTCAGTGGGCAGCCATGTGAGAGTTGTAGAGAGCTAGCTGCCGGCTGGTAATGGAGTTAATGTGATTGTCTGTTGTGGTGAAGGAGCTGAGACGAAAGGTAATCTAAGTACCTACTGTCACCCATGGTCATGACTGAAAGGACAAGATCTCGGATACAACCGGACACATTTTACAAAGTGTTATGACCCGCTTGTTTGAGTCGCAGCACAAAAGAGAGATGAGCCAACAAAATAACCTGAATGCAAATGATTTATTATAAAATGTAACTCATAGAACAATCAATCAATGCAACCAACAAATGTCTAGGGATACTAATGAAGATAAAGAACTTAGGATATAATCACAACAACACTTTAACTACATGATATAAGTAATGCAAAACAAAACCATAAGGTTAAAGAATCAATGAGATGGGAGGTCTTGACATGAGGACTCCTGAGTAGCTAACACAACAACTTTTGTATATCCATTGATGAGCAATGCAGGCATCCAATCACGATTTACCACATACTCCAACCTGGATTTCTCATTCAGGGAATCAGACAGATAACATCATCTAACACAACACTAGCTACATGAACACACTGGAGAGTGGATAACAGATGAGATTTCAAGCCGCAGAGGTGCTGTTTGCCAGATGTTTATGAAACTGTTCTTCTCTCAGCTGCCATCATTGTTTACATAAATGCGAGGAGCGCGACACATTTACAACCCCACCTACTGCAGTGTAGGAAAACAGTATACCGTTACTCAGCCTTTTCAAACATTATTCAGACATGAAACATCCTGTGAGAAAATGTTTTGCTGCATTCATGTCATGTGTGCAACTTTTTGTCCATGTGTTTTTTAAGCTGCTGCGAATGAGCGAAACTCTGTAGACACTGATCAGATCTGTACGTTTCTCTCCAGTGTGAATCCTCTTTTGTGTTTTCAGATGTGTTAACTGATTAAACCTCTTGTCACAGTTTGAACAATTGTACGGTCTCTCCAGTATGAATCGCTTGGTGCAGTTTTTGGAGCTGAAATAAAAGTCTTCTCACACTCAAAGCACATATACTCTTTCACACCAGAGTGGACCTTCATGTGTTTATTAAGGTTTTCTGATTGGTTTAAGCTTTTCCCACACTAAGTACATGTGAATGGTTTCTCTCCAGTGTGGAAGTCTATGGGCATAAAAGTCCAGTGTGACCGCAGCTTAAGTGCAAGTGAATGGTTTCTCTCTAGTGTGGATCCTCATGTGTTTATTAAGGTATGATGAGCAGTAAAAATTCTTCCTACACTGAGTGCATGTAAATGGTTTCCTTCCAGTGTGAATCATCATGTGTTCATTAAGGTGTGATGATTGGCTGAAGCTCTTTTCACACTGAGTGCAAGTGAATGGTTTCTCTCCAGTGTGGATCCTCATGTGTCGATTAAGGGAGGATGAGCAGTTAAAACTCTTCCCACACCGAGTGCATGTGAAGGGTTTCTCTCCAGTGTGGATCCTCATGTGTAGATTAAGGGAGGATGAGCAGTTAAAACTCTTCCCACACCGAGTGCATGTGAAGGGTTTCACTCCAGTGTGGATCCTCATGTGTAGATTAAGGGATGATGATCGGCTGAAACTCTTACCACACTGAGTGCAAGTGAATGGTTTCTCTCCAGTGTGGATCCTCATGTGTTTATTAAGGTGTGATGAGCAATAAAAATTCTTCCTACACTGAGTGCATGTAAATGGTTTCTTTCCAGTGTGAATCATCATGTGTTCATTAAGGTGTGATGATTGGCTGAAGCTCTTTTCACACTGAGTGCATGTGAATGGTTTCTCTCCAGTGTGGATCCTCATGTGTTGATTAAGGGATGATGATTGGCTGAAACTCTTCCCACACTGAGTGCATGTGAATGGTCTCTCTCCAGTGTGAATCCTCATGTGAATTTTAAGTTTGCTTTTGCTTGCTAAACTCTTTCCACACTGAGTGCAAGAGAATGGTTTCTCTCCAGTGTGGCTCATCATGTGTACATTAAGGGATGATGAACGGATGAAACTCTTCCCACACTGAATGCATGTGAATGGTCTCTCTCCAGTGTGAATCCTCATGTGAATCTTAAGTTTGCTTTTGTTTGCCAAACGCCTTCCACACTGAGTGCAGGTGAATCGATTCTTGTCTTTCCTTTTCAAAATATCATCAGTCTGTAAATGAGTTTTTTCCTCAGTTTTGACATGATGTTCCTCCTCTTTACTCCCCTCATTCTGTTCAATTAGGTCTGAAATAAATAAATAAATAAAACATTAGTTTTTATTAAGTCTTAAAAACTCTCATCAAAAGCTGAAAAGTGAAAAGACACTGGAAACATTGGCTACACACTGTAATTTTGATGCACATTAAAAGTAAAATAAATCAGATCATATTTTGTTAAATCCATTAACCTGTACATATTAAAGCAGATGGAATTCAATTCATCTTTATATATCTAGTGCTTTTACAACGTAAATTGTGTCAAAGCCGCTTAACATAGAAGTTATAGTAAATTAAAACTGTGTCAGTCCACATAGTTATGAGAGTTTCTCATAAAAGTAATTTTGGTCATATTGATAAGACAAAGAAAAAAAGCTGTTAATGGCCTATTAATATTCGTGTATATTCACTATTTATTTTTGTATTTATTCATATATATTCAAGTATATGAATACTTGTTTATGTGCCTGACTGGTAAACACATCAGAAAAAAAGTTCTGGGGTAACAGCTGAATTTTTGCCTTGCAGACATGAGACATACCTGTACAGCATCTGCATAAAGGCTGGAATGTGCACGTACCTTTCCCCTTGTGTGTTGTTGGGTCATTTTAATCTAGTCTAGGGTGATTTTAAGGTTTATTTGAAAAAAAATCCTTCTGTGTTTCAGCAAATTAACTGATATTTGGGGACATCCATTTTTTGACGTATTCTGAAAAAAAGCTTTGAAATAAAAAAAATTAAAAAATTCAGTACACTGTAACGTACAGTCCGTAGATAAAAATTACGTATTGATTTTATAAAGGGGTCTGAGTCTCCTCTGCGTGGGCTTATGACTCCTGGTGCCACATAGGCCATACTCACACTATGTACAGTTGCCTCGAACCAGGCCAAGGCATGCTTGTCCCCCCTCCCGTCTCCCTTGATGGCCCGCACTTACACCACAATCAGGCCTAGGCACGCTTACGTCATTGATGCTGCGCTGCGTTGTTCAGTAGAGAAGCGCTCTCGCTCAGCACAGTGGAGAATTCTCTAGTTATTTCGTTTTAGTCGTTTGTTATGCAGTGACATGCAGTCAAATATTTCGCTAAACAGTCCTTAGGGATGCGATGACAAGCTGTCAGATATTTTGCCGAACAGATCCACCACTTTTGGCGCTCATAAACAATCTTAAAGCCCTCGTGGTGCAGGAATGAGGAGGTTTGCTGAAGGTGCGCAGCTGTCGTGCAGTGAGGTGTTTGTGTCTTTATAAAACTACGGCAGTTTGTGTTCATTGAACAGTAAGATTGATTAATAGATCCATATGAAACAGTCCCTTAAAACTCACGTCCTGCTTTCAGTTTCGGGCTTTGGCACGTTTTGCACTCATACTACAAGCCCAAGTAAACCACGCTCATGCCCACCTCTTCCAACCGGGCCAGGGCCGGCAAAGTGAACCGTTCCTGAGCCCGATTCAGCACACTCGCACTTCTCAAACGATCTGAGAAACGGGCCTGGGCACGGTTCGGATAGTATAGTGTAAGTACACCCAAAGTCTGTTGATGCACTTCTTAACACTTTAGTGTTTAGTATCAAAATGTTCCTCCTGCCATTTTACAACACATGATGCGTAGCGCATGATCATAATCACCACGGCTTACATTAATTAATGCTCTGATGTAATGTCTCTCCACATGCTTTCGGGCGTACTCTTATTTTGCATATTAGCGGGCCAGAGACAAAGAAAAACTCCCGCTCAAACTTTGCCAGGAGACTGTTGGTCAGTTGTTGGGAAAAGGGGTTGTGGCCAGACCAAAGTTTAAAAACCCAGCTTTCGAGAGGTGCACCCTCTTTTAATGGGGGCAGACCACATTTTTCTCTGACCGCGTGGCTCATCCGAGCCCACATTTTCTTATTTTTCCGGCAAAGTAAAACTCAGTTTAAGTTGTGATCGCGTATCCTCCGAACTGCATTGCAAACTCCACGCATCAAGAAAGGACATCAAAGGAATTCCAGCACATCGGAAGAAACTTGCAGAGAGAGAGACCGAGAAATCCTAAACTCCAGGTACTTTAGTAATGCGAATAAGCTGTGCCTCTTTATCAAAAAAGTGTTTTTACAATCTTGGTGATCCTTAATAGTGTGTGAAACTGAGGTAGATTTGCCACTCTTTATCTGAACTCTCTATTTCCTCACTTTTCTGTTGTCACGAAATACAGGGAGACCCAATTGCAAGTAAAATAATTATTTATTGACTCAGACAGAATGACAGAAGGAAGAACGCAGGAAGATGATGAGTGAGTCAAGCGAGCAGCAGGAAATGTAAATCGAACAGGGAGCACTGAAGAACAAGATCAGAGAGCCGCCAACAGAAAGGTACAAGAGTCCAAACACAGAGCTCTCCCCGCGACACACGACCAGAACTCAGCGACCGGAACCTGACAGGACACAGACAAACAGACGTGAAGAAAACGAACTGACACTGTGAGACAGAAACGCTGAACATATATAGGCGCGGTAATGCGCTGCACCTGTGGTCCACTGATTACAGCTGAGCGGTGCTGCGCACGGCAAGGCTGGTGACAGCGTACACGTGACCACCCAGCTGATAAGGTAAACACAACTGACAGCAACGCGACTCTAACACAGACACAGAGACACCCAACACACACACTCATACACGCATATACGTAAAACGCATAACGCACCACACCGTACACACACACACATACACACACGCAGACACATCATAGAAGAACAGACAGATCCACAATCGTGACATCTGTTTTATAGACCCGTATATACCTACATGCAGTATACATTTGTTCTATATTTTATGCTTGTTCGTTCCCTAGTAGCAAAGAATTCTGGCCCAGATTTGGCAAAAAGCTGGCACAGCAGGCATTCATCCGGCACTGGCATAAAGCATGTGGGCCAAACATGGCCCGGGTTTGGCAGAGGTGGCACCGTTTTTAAGGCGGCACACAAGATTTGGGCCAGATGTAAAACGTAGTATTTGGCCCAGATTTAAAAATTTGATAAGTGGGCCATGTGAGTTTGGCCAGTCTTGACCCACATTTAAAATACACTAAAATCATTTTTGAGTAAAGAAAAAAAATTTGACCAATCAGGTCACTTTGAGAAAAAGCGTGCCCATAGTGTGCCTAAAGCGCATCACTCCATGGGTTTATCAATTTCATTGCAATCGTGACACATCAACCTATCTGGCCCAGTTCAGGCCCAGTTATGAGTTATTAACTTGGCTGAGACTTGGCCCAGATATGGTCTGTGTTTGGCCCTTGTCTGGAAGCCAGATTTGGTCCAGTCATGTACCGTAATTCACTGCAGCATGTGGGCCAAGCAAAACCTGATTGTGTGGGCCAGAGCTGGGCCAGAGAAATTTTGCTATGTGGGTTATATGTCAGACTAGTCAATAAACCCTATTATAATCAAATGGATTGTATTGTTTGCCTCACAGAAAAAGTCACTGAAACGATAGATTCCCTACAGCTGCTATAAAGTTGATCAAAACTTCTGAATGATTAATCTACTTCACAAGGAGTAGCAATAATTCCCTCTCTAAATAAATATATCATTACAGAGTCTGCTCGGGCGAGGTCTAATTATATTTATTTGGTCAAATTAACAATAAGTTAATCCAGAATGTCAATAATTAATAATAATTCGTTGATGTTGATAATTAATATTTATAATCTGAAAGTCTGCTCGGCCGAGCGGGCGGATTCATATACAATTATATATTTGTTTAAACAAATGACAGAAGATTAAGCCGGAATATTAATAACTCATTATTATTGATTATTAATTTTCATAAACTTTCAGAAACCACATCTACAACACTCTGAGAAAAATTTACTCCCTTTTTGTTATATTCATGGCCGTTTTTTTCTGTATTGGCCTCTATTATAACACTTTTTTATTGCAAAGCCATGACAGCACGTAATCATGCATGTTCCGGCTGGGTTCGCCGACGCCTGCAACCTTCACATCCACACCTCCACATTCGCCATTCTCCTCTCATTTCCCTTGAACCCTCCGCTCCGTGAGTAAGAAGCAAAAGTTTTTGTTTTCTTTGCCCAAATTTTCATTAAATTTATTTCTCTTCTTTTTTCTTCCCGTACTTATATTGTCATTATTATTTTTTCCCGGATCTGCTGGCCTGAAATGATTTGAAGTTTTTTCTTTCACCTTCATTTGAGTTAAAAGTGCTGAGGGTTTTGTGTTTCATTGTGATTATTGTTATATTGTTTGTTTTGGATTTCCGGTTGGAGCGGAGATGGCTCCAGCGAGTGATAACAGTGCGGTCCTTCAAGCTATTGATGCACTAAAAATTGATTTGAATGTTAAAATTGAAGAAAAGGCCGTTGCACAGTCAAATGAACTTGCAAACAAATTGACCAGCTTTGGACAGAGTTACGCAATGCTGTGGAGCACATTAATGCAAGAGTGGAAGCAGCGGAAGAGCGAAAGCCTGGTCTGGAGTCTTTGTTGGGTAGATTCTCTGACTCTCTTACTACCCTGGAAAAATCGTTTAGTATCGTGAAAAAGTAGCTGGATGTGCTGAGAGACCAAATCGAGGATCTTGAGGAGAGGTCTCGCCGCTCAAATCTCTGCATTACAGGAGTTAAAGAAGGGCAGGAGCACGGCAGACGGGTGACGGAATTTGTAGCCGGTCTCTTGAAAGATACCCTGAACCTCAAGAAGACTCCACTTCTGGACTGGGCACACCGCACTCTACGCAGCAAACCAGTGGATGAACACTGCGCGCCTTCGTGATTAAATGTCACCATTTTTCCAAAAACAATGATATTTTAAAGAAAGATATTAAAATGAAAGCAATTACGACAGCAAACTGGGCTGTCAAAGACTACACAAATGTTAATGTCACCCTCCAGTTAACATTTAAATTACCGCTATATGGACTTCAAGTGATCATGACATCAGTAGAACTGGTAGGTGACAACTGGGCTAATTCCACATATCTGGAGTAGTAGTCACCACCAACAGGTATGTTTTGTTTTCCAGCATGAAGCTCTTTCCTGGCACATGAACAATGGAGTAGGAGTATTGCATCAGCCACATTTAAATCTTTGGATACGAGAGGGAAGAGCATCCAGAGCTTGTGATCCCAAGAGACTCAGTAATGGCCTTTGATCGGTCTCCATTTCAAAATGCTTGCCAATAAGAAAGTCTCTGAATCTTTCACACGCCCATGTGAGACCCAATGCCTCTTTTTCCACTTGTGCATACCTCTGCTTGGTCCGGGTGGCAGATCGTGATGCCTATGGTATAGGCTTCCATCCTTCTTGCCACCTCTGCATTAGGACGGCCCCTAGTCCATAGGACGAAGCATCAGCTGACACTTTGCAGTCTCTGTTTGTCATAAATCGCTAAAACAAGTGCAGACGACAATGCATCTTTCAGAGTTTGAAGTGCTTTAGCCTGCTCTGTGCCCCAAAACCAACAGTTCTTTTTCAACAGCAGATCGCGAAGAGCTTTGTCTTTCTCAGCCCGTTGGGGAATGGACCTTCCTAGCTGATTTACCGTTCCCAGGAAGCTCCTTAATTTGCTTACATTAGAGGGCTGTCATGTTTCTAATAGCTTCCGTCTTTATTGGGTCAGGACTAATTCCTTTGGCTGAAATTATGTGTTCTAAGAAAATCCACTTTGCGCTTTACCAGCTCCCAATATAATTTAACTTGGAGAGGTCTACACATATTCTAACTGCACCTGACATTTTCGGGACCACAACCATCCCAGCACACCAGTCGGTTGGCTCCTCCACTCTGCTAATTAAACCCAACGTCTCCATCTGATACAGCTCCTCTTTACATTTCTTATTAGAGGTAGTGGGATTTGTCTCAGAGTTTGAATGAGAATGGAGTGGCTCCTGGTTTCACACTGATCACATATGGTTGTTGTACTTCTCCTAAACCACTGCACAATTTTGGGTAGCTTAGCTTTAGTGTTTTAATGTCAATGCTGTCTAATCGTGCCACCAGCCCAAGCTTTGTAATCGCCGGTCGGCCCAGAAGGGCAGTGTGCAAATTTCTAATTACATACACATCGTCCTCTGAGTGTTTTCCACCTCTTTAAAGAGAAGCCTGCCAACTCCCACTACATCCAAAGCAACTTGCCCTGGCCCAAGTAACGGCCATGTCACATGTCCAAGGGCAGGTAGTTTCTCCTTATAATGTCTCTTAATATTTTTTTTCTGGAACGACAGTGACATCGACCCCTGTATCTTAAATGACACTTGTTTTTGACTAATGTCTATGTCTACCATCCATGGGTTGCCAGATCCATCAATGTTGCCTAAAATGTTGCCTTACTGGCAATTTCCAAATAACATAACATACATACATCCAGCTGGACCTTTTGTGTACTTATAGCTCCCTCTAGTGGCGTTGTATAGCCAATGCCAACCTAAAGATACACAGCAATAACCCCACACTGGAGATCATTAATAATATAATAACATTAATACTAAAACGGTGAAGGCAAAACAACATTTCAGATGTTTTATAGTGTGGTCAGCCTGCTGGTTTGTCCATTTGCACACATTTTCATCATCATATGATCTTATAACAAAATCTTTTTAATGTGGATAGTGACATTTGTTCAGTAAAAGTGCTTACGTAGTTTTCGTAAGTTTATCTTTTCTTATTGAATAAAAAGTTTATCCAACTCAGTTTTGCGCATGTTTTTCATGCTTATATTTCAAAAGTTATGTGCATCATGAAGTTTCTATCAACCGATTTTTTATGCTCATGGCCTATCCAAACTACACATAAAAATAGGTGGCTGGAAACATAAGGCTAAGGCAAGAAATACCGCTTCATCTTTAAATAAAGGGAGGAGACCGACAGAAACCCGGAGTTTAGAGAATAAAACCTGCTCCTGACCAGGTTAGATTCACAGAGTAAGTGACCTCGGTAACTGACTCAGAGTTGAAGTTACCTTTCTTTCAGAAACAGGCTTACCCTACTTTCTTAAGTTTGACAAACCTGCCATTTTGAAACTGAAAACCCAGAGTTTTTTCTCATTTCAGGGTTAACATACTCTGAGTTTTTACTTAACCTTCTATCAGAAATGGGGCCCTGATATCATATGCTATTGTTTTAGAACTTCAGTTGCCTTTTCGAGAAATGTCCAGGAATAATAAACAGCTACTTGCTCTACAAACAAGTGTGTTCATGACTATACATACAAAGAAAAATAATAAAATTAGAAAATATGACTTTGCAACATCAAGCAGCATTAGGCATGGGCCAGTATAAGATTCTGACGGTTTGATAATCTTGAATAAAAATATCACAGTTTCACAGTACTGTGATTACTGCTCTAAAATATATATATTTTTAAATGTCTGGGTAAAAAACAAACACTTTCCCCCCTCTGAACACAATATATATATATATATATATATATATATATATATATATATATATATATATATATATATATATATATATATATATATTTTTTTTTTTTATTTATTTATTTTATTTTATTTTTTTTTTTGAGAAACTTTTAAATTATTTTATAGCAGTAAACTTGTCAGATTGAATCATTCTAATGAATCCTGGACTTCTGCTGTCTTCTTTTATTTTAAAAACATTTCTTTATACATATCTTTTCTGCTGGAGATAATGTTGCCTTGAAAAACTTAAAACAAAATGAAAAATAAAAACTTAAATATACCGTAGGGACGGTACAGCAGAATATTTTAGTGGTTTTAAAACCTTGACCTTTTTTAAACCGTGATATACCTTGAAAACTGATATCGTCCCATGCCTAAGTAGTATAACACTGTTTTTAGGATCTAAAAATTTATTCTTTAAAACAAGTGTCAGGCAAATAAATTCCAATGGCGACACCTGCTGGTATGGGAAGAATATGGTCAATACTGATGAACTATTAACTCAAATTTCTGCATATCATCAGTATGCAGTAATCTATTTCTTAAGCAGCTAAAGTCATTTTTAGACTAGTTTGTTGGCCAGTTGTAGTCAGTGCGATGCTAAACGTTATTGTTCCACTATAATTTGTTTGTTTTGTCTCACGTCGTCCCACAACAACATCATATAGTTTTGAATACTGTACAATGTTTTAGAACAATTATTTTAGTGTCCATTTCATTCAGCTTATTTCAAATTGGCGGCATCCACGTTTTCTGACATACTTTAAACCAGGGTTTCTGCAGGTGTCAACAAGTTAAATTTAAGAGTTTAAGACATTTTAAGACCATTATGAATGAAATTTTAAACTCATAAAGGGCTAAAGAAACTTTCAAATGGCCCAGATGAAAAAGATTTTTATTTGCCCTATCAAAAAAATATTAGAATTTAATACATTTATTAATACAATAATAAATAAATAATAATAAAAAAAACAATATTTTTAATATTTTAGCAAAAAGCAAGCAAGCTTTACTTGTATCCACACACTTTTTTCCCTCAAAATAAACTTTCTTTAAAATAAAAAAACAAATGTTTTAAAAGTTTTAAAAACTATAATAAACTAAATCTATGCATCATTCTGTCCAGGTCGATGTGCTCAGCAGTAAATACATGGAGCATGTTTAAACAAATGTTATTGTAAGGAAAATAATTAAATCATTATGATAAATAGAGTTAAAATGACCTTTTTGAATAAAAAGTATACTGTTTTATTGAGATGGATTGTTGGTGATTGTATGTGTTTTAGCCAGATTGGGTAGCAAATCATAAACAAAGGAAAATTAAGGCTTGTTTAAAAAAAAAAGATTTAAGACCTACAGCACAATATTTCAGTGAATTTAAAACTTTTTATGGCCTAAAATTTAGATTTCTCTTTAAACACAATAGCCCTGGTAATTAGTTATTATAATAATGGCGTAATTCAGATACTATCTGTGAGAACTAGTAACAACTACTAGAAACATCTTTAAATCCATATAGAAGTTGATAAAAAAAGGGGAATTGTGATCAACGTGACATATGCAACTGGAAAGTACTAAGCCAAAACTACCACTGTAATAGCAGATATCTTCTATGAGAATACTGTAGGTCAAACATCATCAGCTCAGTTAAACTTTTTTAAATTATTGTTTTTGATTAATTTTATATAGTGCCAGTGCTCAATGACACTTTACAAAAACAGTAGAAGAACAAGAAAAGCAATAACCTTGGGAGGGTAGAGAAAATGGGAGACTAATAATACATAAAGTAATGACAAAAGACATGAGCACAAGAAAGAAACTTATTCCTGTCTTTCAATGAGTGCTTATGTGCATTTAGGAGAACTACACAGCACACTCAGGTCTGCAAGAAGGACTTAATTTAGTATTCTTATTATTAAAATATATCTGAATGAGGATAAAATGACTGAGTTGGTCTTTAAGAATGGAAATCAACCTTTTTGTTCCTGCAGATCTTCCTGTTTGACTGTGAATGTTTCTTCAATCTTCACATCTTCACTCTCCTCTTTAATAAACGCCATCTTTATAACAGTGTGGAGATCAGTTGTTTCAGCAGTTTTCCTCTGCATTTGGACACTTTGTTCCTGTTTAAAATTAACAAAACAATAAAAATGTCCTATTTAAAATGAATAAAACAATGAACAGAAACAAAATAACTTCTCTTCAACACTTGCTTCAACAGTTTCTTTATATGAGAGTCATTAACAAAAATAAATCAGGTAAGTCTGATCAAGAAACAATAGCCACAAATAACCTGAAAAAAAACTAGTAAAGTTACTTCATTTTTCATATGTAGTGATGTATACTTAAAATAAAAAGACATTATGCTATTTAATATATTAAACCTTTATTAAAACACCACTTACACACATTTCTGTTGTTTAAACAATAGCCCTCATTACTGTGAGTAAAATTGTACTACATTGTATTAAAGGGTTAAAATAATATTTTTAACAGCAGGTACATAATTAAGTATCGGATGAAAAACCTGAAACTTTAATCAATCGGAAATATCTGTGTAAAAGTTTTAAAACAAACCTTTCTCCTGTTGAATCAGTGCGGGAGCGGCGCAGCCTTATGACGTCAGACGCAACGCCAAAATAAAAGTCTTTTTTGTTAAGCTTTTTTTGCCACTTACTGTTGCAGTCAGAACATGATAAATTTCTCCCTCCTTTTCCACTTCACACAACAAAGCTGCTATCTCTCTCACATACACAGACATTCAGTAATTGAAGTTGATCAAAACTTTTAATCCAAACATTTTAACATAATTTTAAATAACTTGTTTAATCCACTTTTAAAGCAGAAAACCCCAACATTCTAAAAGCTATAACAAATAGCCTGGTGGGTGTTTTAAGCTGACATTTTACAGACACATTCTTGAGACACAAAGATCTTAAATCTTGAATTAGAAAGTTATGTTACTAAACTTAAATCACAGCATGTTATGTAAAGTTTATCAGACTCGCCAACAGGGCTGGCCCGTGGCATAGGCAGTATAGGCAAATGCTAAGGGCGCTGTACATCCAGGGGGGCGCCAGAAATGAGTGCGGTTAAGTTTGTTTTGTTTTCGAGATTCCTGACACATTTCACAAAACATTTAATTGTATTAATAAATTTAAATTACAAAACAACACTATATACAAAAAAAAAAACATATATACAACTATTTACACACAGGAATAAAAATGATCTTGCTTGAAAGAGGGAACAGTGAGGGACCTAATGAGGGAGAGGAGAAAAGGAAGTGTGGTTCATTCCCTGCAGAGAATGATGCCTCTGTTTACAAAAGAAAAATCTATTTTGTGGCCTCCAATGTTTCCAAATTAAGCAGAACACTGCTGCTTTCAGATATTAATTTATGTATTTGAAATTTTACAAACTCTTTTGTCTGAGGTGGCAATCTCTGCAAGGTGGGAAGCAAACTCAATAGGAAGAGCTCATCCTCTGAGCGTGGAGATGATGACGGACAGTTCCGCAGTGCTTCCAGAAGCTGCCGCTCCACCTCCGGTGGCTCCTCTCTCTGTCTCTTATGAGCTCTTTTTCTTGAGGCTGTATGAAATAATACAGTTTGTACAATGATAAGACAGACAAGGACTAAATTAACAATCGTCACTATTAAGTTACATGAACTATGGATGTGAACATGGTCATTTTTGTCTGTACACACCTGTGGGTAAAGCAGCAGACGTCGAAGAGCCAAGAGGGGAGGCAGAAGCAGCAGCAGGTTCTGGCAAAGTGGATCCAGGCTCACTACCCAGAAAGGATCCAGTCATGTCTGTTAAGAAATGATGGGTATTATTACAATAAAGGTTCTGTCAAATGCATGAATTCATGCTTAACTTCTGTCCATTCACTCACAAGTTAATTTCATGAAAAGCTAAACCATTAATGAATGATGACTGCATGAGCAACAAAAGGTAATATAATTTTTATATTGATGAATATTATAACAATATCAACCTTTGCTAGTTTTCTAGTAACACATATGTTAATATGAGGACAATATATGTGAATTGAAGACAATTCACAGTAATTACCACAATAGTCAGTTATGTCCTATAACTTCATGTTATCTGCTTCACTTACCTAATGTTTTGGAAAGGTAACAAAGTTGAGTATTGATTCATTTAACTACTTGCAAGTTATAGAGTTGTTCATCTATGAATCATATGTTCATTTGCTGCTCATGCAGCAATCAGTATGGTTCAGCTGTTTATCAGAATTATATGTGCATTACTTAAGCATTATTGCATGCATATTATAGCACCTGTAAATTGTCAGGAAAAAAATATGACTACAAATTATACATATGGCATCCGTCACAAAGAAATAACTTTTGACTTTTTAATCATAAAAAAACAAATAATATGTTCTGTTGTCATTACTTGCAAACACACCTGTCTCTGACTTCCCTTCTGCTGCTGTTTCTGTCTCCCCCTCGTACCCTGCGGGCTGACTCTCCTCACATCCCCTATCCATGTTCCCACTTATCTCCCACGGGGACACGAAGGGGTCGAAGAAAGACAGTACCGCAGAGAACTTCCACTTCTTCCCAGACCCTGCTGCTGACCCACTTCTCTTCTCCGTCTCCTTTCTCCTCTCCTTCAAATAAGTGTCCCTCAGACTCTTCCACTTCTTTCTGCACACTTCCTCTGAATAAACAACAAACCATAAGTGGGAAAGTAGTTGTCACATAATTATGGTTTTAATAAGCTGAAGTAGCTGGCTTCAGCTTGCAGTCTCAATACGTAAACACAGACATATATGAGTATTGAGTACTGTTTTATTTACTTACCCGATTGTCCGACCTCCTCACTCACTTTCTTTCAAGCAAGATCCTTTTTACTCCTGTTTCTGTAGTGAAATGAGCTGCTGTCATACAGCTTGGGATGGCCGCACACCACAACGATAACCCGCTCCTCCATTTTAAATTCTGCCTCCTCTCGTCACGTCAAAAGGACGCAACTAGAGCAAGCTCCTGAGTGGTTAACGCGACGCGAATGTCCGCCAAAGTTAAGATTTCTGAATTTGAGTGATTTGCGCGTCAAACGCGCAAAACGCTCAATTCGTACAGCGCCTATCGCACCATTCGCAGGACGTCTATTCGCGCGTTTGCATTGTCTTAACATGTAAATCACTCGCGCTTGACGCGCGCGCCGCGTCCAGTGTGAACGCAGCATTAGAGAGGACAAGTCTGTTTATATTTCACTAGTCTAAATAATCTATTTAATTAATTTAATAAATTAACTATATCAGTTATCTATTTAACTTTAGTTTACTTAGTTAAGATGCCTGTACTAAAGATAATTGTTTTTTCTGATTAGTCTATATTGGAGGTATGTATTTAATTGTTGTTTACTCGGGTATTCTGACTGTACTAAAATGTGAAAACTGAAAATTCTGTGACCATTAACTCACCTTTACTTGTTCCAAACAAGATTTTATTTTATTTTTTTCTGATGTTGAACAATAATATCCAATAACTTATAATCTCTTTGGTTGTTGAAAACAGTAAATGCTGAATTAAGATTGTTCTTTTGTTTATTGTTTTATTATTTATATTGTCAGACAGCTAAAAAAAATTCACTATATGTGTTAAATTAGCTGCGCAAAGCGATTGGCATACAAAAAATCTTGTAAAATTGATAAATATAAAGATTTTACGTTTATCGTGATAAATATCGATATCAACTGATATGTAAAAAATTATTGTGATATTTTTTTTGCCATATCGCCCAGCTCTACTATACAGTAGCGAGAACAACATCAACTGCATTACAAGTTCAAAACAAAAACAACACCTGGTACCGTTTAAACCACTGTACCAGAGTTCCTAAGCTAAGAAACAGTCAAAAAAAATGTAGCAATCTAGCACAGGAAGTACATAAGCAGCATAAAACAAGTAATGACTCTCTTGAATTTCATCATGGACAACATGAACTGGTTGGAGGAGAAACAGCGGACCTGTCGATTTATGTAAAACCGCCGGCCTCTGGGGAACAACAGGAGGACCCTACTATGGAAGGAAATCATGCTACTGTCAATGATAATACAGAATGCATATGTGAACATGAGTAAAGAGATAATCTTTCCCCAGATGAAGGACAATCGGATAATGGAATGGAATGAGACCTATCAACAATCGACTTCTCAGCCTTACTGGAAAGGGAAAAGCTGACCGATAAGCTGAAGGGGACCACTGCTGCATCAACATTACAAATATTAACCTCCAAAGGTGGATAGTAGTCAAGGAAAATGCTGGAAAAGACAAACACTTGAGTAATTGGTTTGCCTCCATATTTAGATCTTGGGGACAATGGTTGATAAAGTTGTAGAGTACTTGGAGGTTACCATACTTGTTTTTGCTTAACTTTGTTGCTGTGTTGTGTCATTCATCAGATCAATGCTAGACAGTGCTGCTGCCACACACATGGTTACTGTGCAAGTACAAGGAACCGTGCAAGCCCAACTCAACAGTGACTATGGCTATGAAAATATGCTTCCAAAATCCTTAGATTGGTCCGTTTATGAGAACGTTACCCCAAACTTGGTGTGCCGTAGTTCTTGTTTTTATGTTATTCCTGTTTTGTGGAAAAGTAAGGGAGATAGTGTATAACATGTATTTTATTTTCTTTGATTTCAAGCGTAGACAGACCATTAGAATAATGAATAGTGTTGGCAGGTAGTTAGAGGATATTTTGTTTTTTTATTTTGGCACTTAGACTCTTATATATGCCAAAAATTATTCCTATACAATGCAAGTACTCTTATGTTGTTTTCTATTTTCTTTTTCTATTTTTCCTCTCTTGTTCTTTGTTATCAGAATGACACGAATGAAAAAAGGGTTTCAAGCAGGTCATTATCTGTGCTACGAGACAGAAGTGCAAACAGAAGGACCTGAAATTAAGGATTTTAATCCTATAATCTACAATATTATCTTTTAATACTATATTGGTTATGTTTCTGGGTATGAAATGGACATTTATCGAAGCTGCAGGGTTCACATACTCACAGGGAAAGAGGACTTGAACTGAGTGCTTAATGGAACCAACGATCATCTCAAAGCTGGCGAATGCTGTAAGAGTAGGCTCTACTGGTGGTTTAAAAGCCTGCTGCTCGCTCCAACACCAGACAGTACTTAGTAGTACCTCTGGCAACGTGGGAGAAATCATCTTAAGACCAGTAGACAGTATCTTTTAATCCTTTCTAGTCAAATAAAGGGGGAGATATTTGGTTCTGCCTCTCCACTGGAGTGCAGCATAGGGATGTTGACATTTGGTAAAGACTGTGAAAGGCAACTTTGTGTTGCATTAGTGAGGTTGATTGTACTGATATGTTGGTACCTTATGCTGCATTCCGGTTGAGGGTTAGGAAAGAGACTTTCTTCTGATATAGTCCCTCTAAAGGCTGATTTATACTTCTGCGTCAAGCCCATGCTTATGCTACGGCGCTAAAGCATAGCCCTACGCCGTGGCAATCGCTGACGTGCACCTCTCAAAAAATGTAACTACACATCACAACGACGCGTAGCGCAAGCTCTGTGATTGGTCAGCTTAGTAGCGCTGACGAGTCTGGGCGGGACTGAGCCGCGTAAGCCCAATAGAGCAATTGTTTACAAGTGTGGAGTCCCGTGAGAGAGCTCCAGATAAAAAGTTTTGTTTTGTGTTTACCTTATAGTAAAGTTGTTGCACGTCCGCCGGTTTCTGCTTCAAAAAGAGCAAGTTTGAGTCACTTGTACATTCAGGAAGTGTTCAGGAAAAACAAAGCACCAGCGAAGAAACTCGACACAGAGGAACATTTACACCTCACTGCCAACTAGCGTTTCGGAAGTGTTAATGCAGACCAACAGAGACTGCGCAGAAGTATAAATGCACAGCTACGCGTTGAATATTTAGCAGACCAGAATATTTTTTCCACAACAATTTACAGTCACTTGTCCAAAAGTCTTTGAATAAATCATAAGGTATGAACTCCTATTTTATAAATATACAAGGGCAATTATTGTCTATTTGCTCTGTGCGCTGCTCCAGATAGCCAAACAAGCTACATCATCCTTTACCTTAGGTTCTTCGCAACAAAATTAGTCCATTTTCAGCTTTTTCTGTCCTTGTGTGAATGAGTAATCCCCTGCTATGTCTTGTAAGTGCCAAATGCAATAAATTTGGGTCATGAAATTCCAAAATTCAAAAAAATACGATAACGTATTTACAAAATGACATTTTTTTAACTAGTCATTTTTCAAAATCTTTTGTTAGACTTTGCACATTACTTTTCTAAAAAAAAATTTACACACACACACACACATATATATATATATATATATATATATATATATATATATATATATATATATATATATATATATATATATATATTATTGCAGTTTATACTTTACATTTAAAGTGTGAAGGCCGTTTGGACATTGAAAAATAAAATGGAAAAAGTCTTACTGGGCTATTTGCTTTTTTGATATAGTGTTATGATTTTGATGTGGTTATGAAGAAGTAAAATTATGATTTTTGTGATAATAACCTTTGTAATATCTTGTTTTTCATTTTTGACAGGTAGGAAACTTGTGTTGTTTTTCCCACCTTTCGGTTGAACTAAAATGATTCTTGCATACTACATGATTAAGACAAAATTATTTTTTCTCGTGCGTCCTGACATATGCTGGTAACAAACAAAAACTGTCCTCAGTTTGATAGAGCACACAGGGCCTGAGTTATGCACTAAGGCTGGCTTTAAAAAAAACAAAAAAAACAAAGCTGTTTGTGTTGAGGTGGTTCATCATAGGACAGACAACATATATAATAATAGTTAGCATTTAACAGCAGTGTTTTTTGTAATTTCAAAGGGTTTTCTTTAAAATGACATTAAGATATTGCATTTATTGTTCTGTATGTGGGTGTGGTGAGACTTTAAATTTAGGTAGGGGGAAATACTTTTTTTTTTGGCATGTTACCTTCTTCCAGTTGGAATAGAATAACTCTTGCATGCATTATTATAGAGAGAAATTTATTTTTCTTGTGTTTACTGACACCTGCTGGAAAGAAATGGAATTTTGATGGAGCACACAAGGCCTGAGTTCCACATTTTTTAACTTCAGTTTATATAAAACAGTATTTTATGAAATTTCAAAGGATTTCTTTTAAAATCATACCAAAGTTTTGTATTTATTCCTATGCATGTGGTTATGGAACACTTTTTAAATCGGAATGCCAAATTCAGGCGGAAATACCCAAAATAGCCCAAAAGCTTAACAGGTTAATTACTGATGAGCTGCTGAAACTCATCCCACACTGAAGCTGCGGTCACACTAGAGTTTGAGCATGCGACATTTTGTTTTATGGTGCTGCGAAAAGGGGCGGGATTCAACAAGATTATTAGACATTAAAAAACGTGAGCGATTGTCCAGAGAGGTCATGTTTTGATCTTCGAGTCAAGTAATGCGATTTCGCAGGTCAGAGTTCACCAAGCTTGAACTCTGCAACGCAGTGAACTGTAAAACTTGACCCACAAACTTTCGTTTACAGTCTGGCGCATTTGCGTGCATATGAATGGAAGTCTATGGGGAGAAAGGTCTAGTGTAACTGTGGCTTAGGTGCAAGTGAATGGTTTCTCTCCAGTGTGGATCCTCATGTGTCGGTTAAGTTGTGATGATTGTATGAAACTCTTCCCACACCGAGTGCATGTGAATGGTTTCTCTCCAGAGTGGATTCTCATGTGTTCTTTAAGAGATGATGAGCGTCTGAAACTCTTCCTACACTGAGTGCAAGTGTATGGTTTCTCTCCAGTGTGGATCCTCATGTGGTGATTAAGGGATGATGATTGGCTGAAACTCTTCCCACAGAGAGTGCATGTGAATGGTTTCTCTCCAGTGTGGATCCTCATGTGTTGTTTAAGAAATAATGAGTGTCTGAAACTCTTCCCACACTGAGTGCATGAGAATGGTTTCTCTCCAGTGTGGATCCTCATGTGTTTATTAAGGTGAGATAAGCAACTGAAACTCTTCCCACACTGTGAGCATGTGGATGGTTTCTCTCCAGCGTGGATCATCATGTGGTAATTAAGGTGTGATGATTGGCTAAAGCTTTTCCCACACTGAGTGCATGTGAATGGTTTCTCTCCAGTGTGGATCCTCATGTGTTGATTAAGGTTTGATGATATGCTGAAACTCTTCCCACACTGAGTGCATATGTATGGTTTCTCTCCAGTGTGGATCCTCATGTGAATCTTAAGATCGCCTTTTCTTCCAAAATTCCTTCCACATTGAGTGCAGGTGAAACGATTTTCGTCTCTTTTTTTCAAAATACCATCAGTCTGTAAATGAGTTTTTTCCTCAATTTTGACATGATGTTCCTCTTCTTTACTCCCCTTATTCTCTTCAATTAGATCTA